CTTTTAGGGCCTGCGTTGATCTTAACGACTGGCTCGCCAGATGAGGGAGTGTAGAGACCTAATTGGAGAAATTAATCAGTTCTTATCATCGGCTGTGGACAATTGCAAATCATTAAATAAATTTGTCATGGGTGAGGGTCCGGCGGGTGGCGAAATTTGAATTCGAATGATTTGATTGCAGTCAATATAATTAAATTTGCCGATGTCAAAAAATCATTACCCCCGATATCATAATTAGGCGCTATATTGGTCCAGGCGGGTTTTCCACCTCGATTACCGAGAGGACGTTTCGCTTCCTCAGCATCAAACCCATTTGCCACTGGAGATGACCCCGATGCTGAGGAGTGTGCATTACCAACACTCGAATGAGCCTCACTGCTCGCCTGATTATTGCCAACAATTCCATGAGCACCTGAACCCGCTTGACCCAGTGCAAAGGAATTACTATCAGCTTGAGAGTGTCCTCCAAATGCCGGATGATTTAAATTGAATGCATTTGCATCAGAGGCGGATATTCCAGAGAGTCCTGCGGAGAAAGAGCTGGATTGACTCGCTGATATTCCAGAGCTAAAATGAAGACCAAGACACAGGTTAAACCCATTTCCATCTACACAAGTTTGTATTTTGCATTTCAATAATCCGAAAAAGGTTCAACTGAATTCTGCAATCAGGACGAGGGGATTATTTAATCTTTATCAATTTTTCAAGTTGATGATAGACTGCGTCATTATTTGAATCACAATACAGAATAATTTGCAGTCTTCACAGCTCGCGAAGCAAATAAAGGATAAAAATGATATTTAATGACAAATTAGTGCGTCATTTCCTCGATCACATGTGGAGCTGTTATCAAGAATAAAAAAAAATAAAATAAAAGTGTCGGTCTAGACAATGGAATTGAGTTGTTCCACTGAGTACCAGAGAATCTTTGGATGACTGAGGAGGGAATAAAGGGAAAAAGCGATCGTGGATATCTGGTGTTCCTCGTTAATCACTCACCCGGCATTATCAAAGCCCCCTGAAATGCTACTCTGGCTGTGGGATAGACTGATACCATCCTGGCTACCACCGACACTCAGGGAATGAGCATTACTACCACCAGCACTCAGAGAGAAACTCGCTGAGAATGGTAGAAATCTTGGTTGGGGTGAATTTCCATCCTGGCCTGCCTCTGGCGTTAATTCCGGTGGGGTATTCCATATCCTCTCTGTCTCGTCATTTAAATGCACACGATTTTCTGGAAAGATTCAATGCCTCAAGAACATCCGCAAATTAAAAGGACAATTGTAATCGTAATCACCATTTTACTCGGATTAAACCGCAGCACGAGACAATTACATTTTAAATTCCAGTTAATGAATAGGATAAATAAAATACCTAGAATTTTTCAACAATGAAAAAAATACTGGACATTTCTCGAGAATTCATTGGCGAATCGATTTTTTGGTAATTGAAAATTTTTTTTATTGCAAATCTAATTCTCTTACAAAATCAATGCCATATTTTTTTGTTTTCGATCGGT